ATGCAGAGATGATTTGATGATCTACAGCCGAGTGATACACAAATAAGATACATTTTTGTTGATAGTTAAAGGAGAACTATGAGGTGAGTGCTTTTCACTCACCTCATAGTTCTAGCCGACCTGTGAAAATGAGACTGTCACAGGTCGGCTCAGTAGATCGGGAGGTGAGCGAACACATACCGGCGTTCGCTCACCTCTAGATCCTGTCACAGCTCTCTGCCATGACATACTATGGGGAAAAACACTGACCCCATAGTTCTCCTTTAAGAATTACAGTATTACCAATGCATAGAATGATAAGCAACCAACCTTATTTCGGCTGCCAATGAGACACATTTTAAAGCCCAATGGAACTTTTAGTTTAAATGCCAAAATACATTCTGGGTGAATCATAATAAAATATTCAAAGTCTCTATATATAGGGAAACACAAACCAAACCTGACAAATCTGCTATAATATATCAATGCAGGATATGTGGTTTTCACTTCTGTTCTTTCCTCCTACTAATGCCTGTATATAAAGCTTAATTAACATATATAGATCTATTGCTGAATTCCTTCTGCTTTTGCTTTCCTGCCCAGTCATTTATTTTTTCAGCACTCAATCAAACCAGCTAAAACTCAATGAACACACTGTCATATAGAAAAGACAGTGCTTTTAATGAAACCACAATGTCTTTGTTGGACAAATAGCAGTAATGGCTTTAGCCAGTAAAACTGCATGCAGCTATTTTGTGTGAAAATAAATATGCGTGGCTTACTATACACACATCAATACCTTTTCACTAATGAGACTGCAGATTCGTGCTACAGGCAGGTAGTAGTTAGCCAATGAATTTGCTCTGCCCAAAGACAACCACAATATAAAAAAGTAAAATTTACTTAAAAGCTACTTCCAAACTAAAATTCAGCTTTGTGTGAAGTCCTTTGTCATGAAGACCAAAAAAACACTTATAACAACAGCACTTGTGCTGAATATTTTGTACTGTCTTCCATGCTAACAGGAAGCACAATACATAATGAGCACATCCAAGGTATTCAACCCCCAGTGTCTGAGCTCAGATCAAGGGAGAGTTCAAGAGACAGAGCTGGTTATCACATTCAACTAAAAGCTAATATCCTAAAGGTGATGCAACTGCCTGCGAAGGACCAATCTACATGTTAGGGTTTGGATGTATATGCTATAAAAGCCAAGTGTAGGAATAAATAGTTTAATCTATTTGAACCTGCCCCCGGCCAGGGGTGAGCAACCTTAAACAATTAAATAGCCATTTGGACCCGTTTCCCACAGAAAAGAAAACATCGGGAGCCACAAAACCCCTTTGACATCTAAAATGAAGATAACACTGCATATATCGTTTTTTACCTTTATGCTATGCATAGCATGTATATAGGTATATGTGGACTTAGTAACGCACTGGACTCTGGGCTTAGTAACGCACTGGACTCTGGGCTTAGTAACGCACTGGACTCTAGGCTTAGTAACGCACTAGACTCTTGACTTACCTGAGATCCCGCAGAGCCCACCTGAGAGTGACCCTGCAGAGCACACCATAGGTCTTGCACAGCCCATCTGAGACTCTCTATGGTGGGCTCTGCAGGGCCTCAGGTGGGCTGGTCGCCGGGGTCCCTTCCCCTGTACCTCCTCCAAACTCCTCTTACCTGCTACTGCTGGGGCCTGGCCTCCTCCACCCCCTTCCCTGTCACCTCTGCAATGCCGCCCCTGGTACATGATACTCATGTAAGAGGCCCCCCAGGCTGCCCATACCGCTCACATGGATACCGGCGGTACCCCCTGATGGTGGTGTTCTATCAAGGTTTGTTACTACGTTACAATGTGTGACCGGTGACGTGGTCACACATTTCAATGTAATCTCGCCCAGGAACCGCTGTTCGGTCCTGAAATGTCACTTCTATCTGACTCTGTGAGTGTGATCTCACATTCCACCCCACTCACAGTGTCAAATAGAAGTGACATTTCAGGACCAAACAGCTGTTCCAGGGCAGATCAGTTCTCCTGCACATACGATTTGCGATGCCGATCTGCCCTGGAACAGCTGGAATGCTTGACCTATTGGTGGTCACACATTCCACCGCCAAAAAACTGGGCGGGATCACATTGAAATGTGTGACCACATCATCGGTCACATCTCTGCCCTGATGAAGGGACCCTGCGCGGTCCCGAAACATTGGATTATGCGATATGTGTGACGTTTAGTCCAAATAAATGGACTTTTTTTGCATTTCATTTATGGAGTGCTGGTGATTTCTATTGTTCACGTCACTGGTCACACATTTCAACCTAGTCACAAACTTTGATAGAACAGTTGCCCCGTCTAATCATTTAATCAGAGAAATAGATTATAATAGGCAACATGACAGTGTAATGTTCCCCATTATAATTCACTTTTCTAATTAAATGAAATAACAGCACACAGTGTGCAGCAACACCCGTATCACCCCCCTTCCCCCCCCCGCTCCTCATTTGGACTCACCTGCCAAGCCTCACAGCCAGCATCCCAGTCAGATGGTGTGCACTGCAGGGGGCTGGGCATGTGACACACACGTCTCCTCTCCCGCCGCCTGTGAGTCACAGGACCCACCCCTTGCTGAGAAGCCCGTTGGCAGTGCGGGGCCCCGGGACCCTGCACTGCCGCATATTCCACCAGGGGGGGTTCCCAGGGCCGGACCTCACTGGGCCCCCACAGTCTCAGGCCCTGGCGGTAGTTCCGCCCCTGGACAGGGAGTCACAGCAGAGGGATGAAAGGACCACATGCGGCTCCAGAGACGCGGGTTGCCAACCCCTGCCCAAGGCACTATGACAGAACATAATATAATAAGTAATATTTGGACAACAAGCTGGAACACATTCTAATTTAGGCTACTGTATTTTTTTTTCTGTTGGGTAAATCTATCAGTAGAGCATATAATCATCATAAAAAGAGCCCATTCACACAACGTCTGCTTGGCTCCATTAGCTTTACACAGGTCCAATGCAATGACAAGCTGAAATCCATTGTTTCCAATAGGCCCAGTTTACACCAACGTGATGTGTTGATGTGGCTGGGTGAAAATGGAACATGCAACATTAAAATGCAATGCGGTACATCCACATTAAGTAAAAGAAAATAAATTATTTTGGCTTCTTGAGTATCACACGCACGCAGTGTGAAACCAGCCTTACTCAGCAAATTGCTCATTACAAATGCTTGAAGGTGTAGCATTTGCAACTGCTAAAAAATAATTTCTAGACAATAATTACATCACTCTCATGAATCAAGGTCACAAAGTTCAAATAAGAGAGATTATTTAGCTGTTTGAAACAGTAGGATATATAGAAGAGATCAAAAACTTAAACCTGCCAAGCAGCAGAGACTACAGCCTTCTCTTATAGTACTGGATCACATCACACAGTTTAGATTTTAATTTTTAGAAGACAAAAGCAAAACACATGCCCCTCCAATACCCAGTAATGAGCCGTTCACTGGGAAAAAAAACTACTTCACCTACAACCGGTCCCCAACAGACAAAGATTCAGATAAGACTCAAAGACATCTCCTGTAGACCTTGAATGTTTGCTACTGTACACACCAGAACAGCTTTCAAATTCTCTTTCTGCTGACTAGTGCAATACTAAAACTTTATGTGAGGATCCCTACAGAACTGCAGTAGTCTAATCTAATTTCTGCTCTGCTATTCAGTAAAAACACTTTCCTCATTCTGGCCGAATCTCTTACACATATGATACCCACTTATCACTGCCAGTGCATGTGCCTGCTGCTGCATACGCCATTCACTGATTTCTCAAATATGGCCGCTTAGGCTCACAACTTGTAAACAACCTATGCAATGTCTCATCTAGCCTTACTCTATGTGCTCTAAAAGCAGCCTCACTAAAAATGCTACCCTAAATATTCCAGTACATATGCCATTATCACACTACTAACAAAATATGAATTAATTGAAAAAAATGGAGCATATATATGGTTAATTAAGTATATAACCTTATGGAACTGTCATGCTTCATAGCCTGATCTTCTCAATACAAATGGCTGCAGCACACTTGGCTGCCATAGTGGAGCTAGACTCCCAAGTAGGGTTGCCACCTTTTTTTTCATCGAAACCCGAACACTCTAGCGATGCATGGACATTTTTGGGGAGAATGAGTCGTGGCTTATTCATATGTAAATAGCGCCACCCATTCATATGTAAATATCACAGTCCAGACTATTTTCAGCGGGGGGCCAGTAGCTCCTCTCTTAATTTTGGTTACCCCTGTCTGCCTGACATCTTGTGTCCTGGTTTTAGCTGCCATGAAACAAAGCATTCAAATCACTGGCTGTCCGGGTGAATCTTGGACAGGTGGCAACCCTACTCCCAAGGACTAAAAATGTCACATGGCATCTCATTCATGTTTGGTTCCTTCAAAGCCCCGATCATAGCTGGTAAGTCCCATCTCCTTGCCAATGCTGTTGTGGCAGTCGCACAAAGCTGCACCACCACTTCAGACAATAAAGTAAAGGGCTCCATTCATAAAGCAGCAGTATGGCCTTACCACAGCCATAGCACTGCTTTAAAAAGAAATGTGCTTTAGAAATGTGCTTAGGACGTTGCTTGATTCATCTATGAATGAATGACAGGTTAAAAACAGGAGGAGAACCAAAGGTGCATGAGTTCTTAAAGATATTTCACACATTTCCTACAGATATATATATAT